TCGGGTGAACGAGGTCCCGATTGTCCCAGAAGCCCGCGGTTTGTTCAAAGACATGTAGATGCCGACACAGTCCCGAGAAGGAACGAGGTCTAGCGTTTGGCGCCATCCAAGCTTCCCTCAGGCCAAGGAGGTGTGTTCGTGATGGCAAACTCCCGAGGCAGCGCTAGCCCCAAAGATAATCACCCTCTGCAGCCGATCGAGGTGGCACGCCGCGGCCCACCCCACGTGGAGACTATAGCATGCACGGAAAGACGAAGCAATGATCTGGGATCCCGTGATGCCACATTGTCTACAGAGAACAGCAGGCTCTCGCGTTTTGACCTGGGGTCCTCCCGGGACGAATGATCGCCAGTCGAACCGAGCATTTTCGGCGGATAAAGCGAAGAATGCGTAAACTAAAATGTGTTAACTTAGAGGCGGAGGATACGGTCGCTTTGATGCAATTGGGCGCGCCGAAGAGGGAGTTTCCCGGCTGGGTTCATCTTGGGAGAATGGGCGGTGAGACAGGACTTGGTGGCAAGCAAGGTTTGTTCTTTCCGCAATTTACGGCTTAAATCAATTAATATTTAATTTATTTACGGTTGGGTCGCTGGTCAGAGTGCTCGGAGTTAAGACTTTGTGTCTTCAGCATGGTACAACATGACCACCTGGAAGATGGGCGGGAAGACCGTTTGTACACATGTTAAGTAGAATAGCGCCGACGAGGGATCCCTGTGGGACACCATGACATTGGCGAAGGTGAGAAAGGTCCGCCTCTTCATCACCTGCCTGTGGGCAGCGCGGCAGCTTTTTAACTAATTGCGGCAAACAAACGCAGCATCATCGTATCTTGCATAAAAGGACTGGCGATCTGCACCGTAAAACGCGCGACTCAAATCAAACGACGTGTCAGCAACAACGTGGTCTCTGTCCACTCGATGGGTGATTCAATGGACTGAGTCAAGCAGAGCATCCTGCGGCGACGGACCAGGTCCGCACTTGGAAACACATCGGATGAGGTCTTGATCTGGTTCCCATCCCCACACTCTTCCAGCGTACTTCCAGTACGCTTGAAGATCTTTTCTGTTGAGTGTGCCGGTTGTGGAGCTGATATGATTGGTCGCCACCTGATCTTTACGTGGCGCACCTTTGCGTTGGCAGCGCTAAGAATCGGTGATTTGTAGACGGCACATCTAGATGCACGGTGCGGTTGGTTTCACTTCTTTATCCACTTGCCTTGTTGCTCGTCTGATAGGGATTTCGTTGGTGAGCTCTGGCACGCACCCCCTCTGCTCTGAGCTCTGAGCTCCCCCCTCCCCTCAGCGGCGTGTCTCTAGCAAGCACTCGATGTCATGTGACCGGCTGCAGAAATCGCCCCCCTCAGTTTTGCCAGTGCGGTTATCCGTCCTCTCTGCCGTCCGCTTGGGCTAATCTCGTATCGCTACGACGCCGGTTCGTCGATATCGGGGCATACTTACTGCCCGTGTTCAGCTGTTTTGCATGTGTGCACTTCACGCTTCCCAGGACAATCAAACGGAGAAGATATGCTTCGTCCAGATTACAATGAGACAGGAAGACTACCCACGATTCGCGCAAATGCCTAAGGATGTGATGGGACCATTGTGGTCCCGCTCGTGAGCGCTCGTTGCATTATTTTTTGATAGGGCCTAAAAAACGACATTCCACGATTTCAGAGTTAAAACTGCACCGCACGATCATTGGCACCCGTCCGGGCGCGGGTCATAGTGACCCCACAGGTTTCTCCAGAAAAATCCGAATGGCACGGCGTAGTCACGCCAAACTCTGTACGGCTGCAGAAAATTGAATTGCAGATCTTTTGATGCAAACGAATTAGATGTACTTTGTAGGGTTGCTGACCTATGGCAGGTCAAATTCCTGCCATGTCAGCTAAACACATGTTTAGAGAAGCGCTTAAGGTGGCGCAACAGCGGAGTGTAGGCGATATATATCTGGCATAAACCACAGGTAATAAACGAGGTGAATTTAGAATGAAACCAAATCCACTGATCTAGAGCCAGGTGTGAAGGCCAGACCAAGATAAAAACTAGCCTGCTTTTTTACTCGAGAACTTGCTTTATGGGATAATTCCCGATGCTCGTTTTGAGTGTTAGTGCAGGGGCCACAAAAACATGTTTCATGAACCTTTTTGAGGTCAGGGTAGGTCACTGACTTAAAATAATCCATGAACATTTTGCTTTTAGGAAAATATTTTGCCTGGCGGCATTTTTGACCTTATTTAACCCAAGGTCATAGCCTAAGAATCTCAAATTCTTGCACAAGTAAGTTCATGCACAAGCTAATCCATCCTGTGAATTCGGTGTTCCTAGCTGTCTTACTTTTTGAGATCGCTGAAGGGTAAGGTGACCCTCCACCCAAGCGAAGGATATTGAACTGGCCACCCTGGCGTGTGTTAATTAAAACGCTCCCAAATGGTGGCCATATCGAGTGCCGGTGGCCTAATTTTGTCCATGCGACACGAAGTGCTATGACTTGCTGGGGTCTTCTTCCGAGATCACCTTTTCTAGCATTGTGAAACAAGTCAGCTGTATCTATCGTCCCCATGCGCGTGTGGTAAAGACTCCTTACGGCAACCTATTAGGAAACATTGCGCAGCCAGGAACAGGCTTGGGAGCACTGAAATCACGGCGATATTGAAGTTCAATCTGTAAGGCATTGCGAATTAGTAATGACTTGGCCGTCGGCTTGGGCTCGGATAGGTAGGCATTGATTGATTGAAGTGTATGTGAGCAAACCAGAAACAATCCTGGGACATTACAACCAATCGTGAACAGGTGAATGGATGGCTGATGAGGACAAAGTCAGTCACCCAAAAAACAAACGCACTGAAACACACGCAAATGCACACCAGTCACGATTCCGCCGCACAAACAGGCATGACACCTTCAGACGTTCCTCGATATGTCTCTTCAAATGTTTCGGGAAAGGGACCATCAGAAGCTGGAGATAGTCCGGGAGCCGTTATACCTACATCTTGGGTGCGCGAATAGAAAAGGCGCCGTTTTCCTCCCAGAATTCAGAGTCCTACCCTCGCCTGACGCTGCCGTCGATGTTGTTGACGATGTTGCAGACCGTGTGGTGCCCTCCACACGTTTGTTGGTCGCCCTGACGATCGGCTTCGCTATCGGCGTCGCGATCATCAATCGCTACAACATCAACATCGCTATTGTGTGCATGGTGGCGGACGTGGTGCCACCGGCGGACGGCGTCGGGGAAGAACGCTGGAATACGTCCCAACCGCGCGAGCAGATGGGCGGCACCGGGAACGGCTCGTTCACGACAGAGCTCAATGAGGTCCAGGTGAGGATGACGGCGGAAGTCTTCTATACACACGGTCAGCCGTGTATGCAGACAACTATAGTAGATGTAGTAATCTGGAGCCGATACTGTAGTAAATAATAAAGAACGCAAAACAATGTGGTAATAGTTACAGGTTGCGTTCTGCCTTTGCTTGCATTAAATGCATCAAAGCACATAAGAAACGTAACATTAAT